GCGAGGTACACGTCTAGCTCTTCTCCGAGCTCGGGCTTTGAGAGCACGATTGGTGACATGAGATACTCCTTCAGCTCATCAAAAGCCGCTCGGCATTCTTCGTCCCAGACGAATCCATTAACTTTTCGCAATACCTTGAAGAAAGGTAAAGCGCGCTCGGCTAACTTTGAGAGGAACCGGCTGAGAGCTGCCAACCGACCGGTCAATTGCTGGACCTCCCGAACGGTAGAAGGCGGTTGCATGTCCAGAATCGCTTTTACTTTGGCCGGGTTGGGCTCGATTCCCCTCTTGGTCATCATGTAGCCGAGGAACTTGCCGGTCTGAACCGCAAAGGTACACTTGGTCAGGTTCAGCCGCAACTGGTACTTCCTCATGATCTGGAAGCATTCCCTGAGATCCCGAGTGTGGTCGGATCGGTCCCGACTCTTGACCAGCATATCATCAATGTAGGTCTCCATCGTTCGGCCCAGTAGATCAGCGAAGAGCATATTGACCATCCTTTGGTAGGTCGCTCCCGCGTTACGGAGGCCGAACGGCATCACTCGGTAGCAATACAGCCCGTCCGGGGTCATGAAGGTTGTCTTGCTCTCATCTTCATGGTGCATCATTATCTGATGATATCCTTTGAATGCATCCATGAAGCTCATCAACTCGGCCCCGGCCGTCTCGTCGACCATCTGATGGATACTCGGTAGAGGATACGGGTCGAGCGGACAAGCCTTGTTGAGGTCGGTGAAGTCTATGCACATCCTCCAAGCTGGGGGCTTCGGAACAAGAACAATGTTGGCCACCCACTCGGGATAGATCACCGGTCGGATGTGCTTGATCGCCGCCATCTTCTTGACTTCTTCCCTGACAAACTCGTGGCGATCGGAAGAAAGGTGCCGGGTCTTCTGTACGACCGGCTTTGCTGCGGGATCGACGGCTAACTTGTGACAAATTACCGATCGATCGATCCCGGGCATGTCTTCGGGCCCCCACGCGAAGATATCGGCATACTCCCGGAGTATGGCCAAGATTTCTGTTCGTAGCTCGGGGGTGAGGGCCCGGCCAATTTTGATCTTCCTGTCCGGTCGGTCCTCGGACAGGGGAACTTCTTCGATTTCCTCGGAAGGCTCAGGTTGCTCCTTCCGGTCCTTAGCCTCTTCCTTGGCTATAGTGTTCACCCGGGAAGACTGACCGGAGTCGCGTCTGTTGACCGCTCGGGTGTAACACTTCCGGGCGGATTGGACGTCGCCGCGGACTACGCCGACCCCATTAGGGGTGGGGAATTTCATGCACAGGTGGGGCATGGAAATTATCCCACCGATCTTCATAATGGCGGGTTGGCCTAAGATAATGTTGTGGACGCAATGGAGGTTGACCACAATGAACTCAAGCTCCGTCTTGATCGACTTTGGGGATGTGCCGATCTCAACCGGGAGCGTTATTTTTCCCTCGGGGTACACAAGAGCCCCGGTAAAACCCGACAGTGGTACACCGACCGGAGTCAGCTCCTTCCTGTCAAGTCCAAGTTTTTCGAACACGTCCAAATAAAGGACGTTCACACTGCTGCCAGTGTCCACCATAACCCTCTGGACATCCGTCCCTTTCACATCAATCGTGACCACGAGCGGCTCCATGCCATGGTCACCGCTGTTGGGTTGATCTTCGAGGGTGAAGGTTATGGGCTCCATCTTTTGCCTCTTCCCGGTCTCCCGGGAATCCACTATGGCGACCGGGCAATTACTCCTCGGTCAGGAAGCGTCTTCCAATCCACCGAAAATGACGTGGATGGTCGGCTTTCCTGCTGGTCGGCTGCTAGACGGAGGGTCAGGGTCCCGTCGGTCATCGCGACGATTGTCTCTTCGATCGTCTCTTCGGTCCTAACCTGACCGATCGGAGCATCCATCACGATCAGAGCGATCGGAGCGGTGATGGGAACGCCGGTAATCTCTCCGATCGGTATTCCTCTTGGTGTCCTCTCTCTTCCCCACACACTTGTCCAATTTTCCAAGATTGAGCAAATCCTCCAACAGTTGGCGCAAGTGGGTACACTCCTCAATGTCATGCCCGGCACATCGATGGTAAGCGTAATGCTTACTCTTGTCAGGGCCGTCTCGATCGGGATGGGGGAGTTTGATGAGATTGCAGGACTGAGCGTACTGCATGGCCTCCGCTGCGGATCGGTTCAAGGCCGTAAACTCACCAGGCCTGGTGCGGGATCGGGGATGGTCATCACCCGATCGGTGTTCCGCCCGGCCGACCGGTTTACGGGACGAAGACCCGACCTCCTGCGAGCGCTTTACGGCATTCGCCTCGCCGGCGTTGGCATAATCTGTGACCCTTCGAAGGGCCTCCTCATAAGTGGCCGGGGGGTGGAGAATGAAATCTTGATACAAATAGCCCGCCCGGAGGGAGATGTGTAGCATGTGAGTGGCGGTTGCGTCATCCATGGGCTCGACCTCCCCGACCGCCGCCTTCCATTTGACAAGGAAGTCGGTCAAGCTTTCCCCTTCAAGCTGCTTGGCCTTCTCCAAGTACATATAGGACTTTTTCACCACCTTGGAGGTGATGAATTTTCTCACAAACTTGATCGCCAAGGCATCAAAATTGTCGATCGAGCCCGGCTGCAAAGTTCGGAACCATTCTGCCGCTCGACCGGTAAGCGTGGAATAAAAAGCCCTACACATTACGGCGTCTGATACGCCCTTCAGCATCATATTGCCGTAGAAGTCATTGACATGGACCTCAGGGTCCGTACGGCCATCGTAACATTTCTCTTCGGAGACCTTTAAGTCGAGCGGGTAAGGCTGAGCCATCACTGCCGCTGTAAAAGGCGTCCGGAGTAAGGTCGATTGGTCGACCGGGGGTGTTGCAGGGTGCGCATTTTTGAATTGCGCAAATTCCGCCTGGAGGTTGTAGAGCAATCCTCGGGTCTCGTTGAGCTCGGCGGCTTGGGCAGCTTGGGCTGCGTCCCGAGCGCGTCGTCGTCGATGAGATCTCGACCCGCTATGCCCGGATGAAGCCTCCTGGCTGGCCTCCTGCATCTGTACGTCTTCCGGTTGGCGGTTCGGGTCTAGGGGCCCCAAACGTTGCCGCATCTCCGGTCGAAGACGATCAAAAGCTACCGCTCGGGCAACTTCTTCGGGGTCCTCCACTTGGGTGGGAACCTCGGCTGCTTGCTGAGCCTGCCGTGGTGCCTCCATCGCATCAGCACCCCCCGACCCCAACCGCGAACGAGCCGAGCGTCGAGCCCGGGAAGCGGGCTGATGCTGCGGCTCTACTTGTGCGGCCGGGTAAACTGGAGGGGCGGCGGTTGGAGCCGTGTACGCAGGCGTGTATGGTGGGTAGCCAACCGGGGGAGTATAATACATCGGTTGGCCAGGCCAATACCCGTACGGCTGAGGTGGGACCGGGTATGGATATTGGCCGGGATACATCATCGGCGGTTGCGGATATGGCTGACCGGGTGTTGGGTACCCCGGTTGAATGTAGTTCACCGGCTGTTGGGCGGCTGGGTATGTGTTGGATGGATGTGGTGGTGAGAGATTGAGGTTGAGGTCCATCGTCTGACCTTGTTGTTGTGTCGTCTGGTGGTCGGATGAGCTAGCTGCATCCGCCTGATCGTCGGCAAAGAGGTTTTGTGCCCACGGATACATTGTTGATGAAGGATCGGGTGCTCGTCAAGACGTTTGCTTTCTTGCAAGGGTCCCCACGGACGGCGCCAAAATGATACTGCTAATTACTACGTAAGCAACAATTAAACAAACACGAGACCAATTAAAGCAAGTAAATATCTTTATTGATCCCGGTGAAGGCCCTAAGTACAATCTACTTGGTTGCTCTGAGTACCGACTGACTGCGGTCGGGATTCTCTAACAACAACCTATCGATCGTCCAAAAGTCCCTCACACTGTAGCTACTGTGGGTATTTATAGCCGCTGCGCCGGAGACACAAATCCGGTCGTTCGGCATGCTCTCCACGTAGCCACCACGTGTCATCCTCCCGGGTGCCCTGTCTGTCATCGCAAGGAGCCGCCACGTGTCATTTATCAGCTCTCTCGCCAAAGGGCTACCGTTCGGTGGTCGACACTGCCGTTCGGGCGACTCCCGGTCGGACCCCGACCGGGTTCTTCACAAGAAGCCCGACCTGTTACCTGCAAAAACAAGAAGAAAAGACAAAGGCAGACCAGTCGAGGTAAATTTATGTCGGTTGGGATATTCCCTACCAATTATTATTTGTAATAACAATTTGAGACTGCGAACAACAACAAGGTGCTACTATTTGCAACCCCAAATTGTTGTTACGAATAGTAGTTCGCTATTAATTGGATAATTGTTTGCTCGAATTCAAGCGATGTTAACATCAGAAAACATAATCGATTCAACTCAATTCTTCAATTGCACTATATAATATTCGATGTTATAATTTACACAATTATATATCGATCCAAATATTCTTAAAATATTATAACAAATCTATTCCGTGCAATGCACGGGTGAAAATACTAGTTTTAGTTAAAAAGCAAAAAAAATTTCAGGTAAAGGAGAAGGCAACCAAACGCTGGAGAAAGCATCGAGCAGTTTTGGTCGGCCGTCGGCGGAGGAGAAGAGCGTGATAAGGCGCGAAAGTGTGCGCGGGGAAGATAAGGCGAAGCCGGGGTTTGCGGCGGGAGTTCCTTCCTTTGGGGTTTTGAATGATTGGATTGTGGAGTTGACGTAGATCGACTTGCGAGTAGTATTTGGATTCACAGGGAAAGCTCGCTCTGTCATCCACCATGGCGGCTGCCCTGAACATAAACAAAACACTGTATTAATGTTGTAATCTTACACCAAACAGTTCAAACTGTGTTAAAAATACACAAGCATGAATGCAATTAGTTAATACTTGTCCTTCCATGCCCATGCTGATATGATATGATACATCTATCATTTCTGTGCTTCCTGCAAATGCAATGCAATATCACTTACCAAAGCAGAGTGAAGTGATAAACAAGATCCTAACACTAGTATATTTAGATTTGGTATCCTCCCTCAGGCCTCAGCTCAAGTCCAGTTTCACAAGCATGTATCTCGAGAGAGCTGCACTCTCAAAATCATCTTTTCAAGAAGAAATATATAGCTGTGTGAAAGAAGAATGAAGCAACAAAGAGATTCCTCTGACCAAAACTGCATTTCATGGATGTGCAACAAAGAGATTCCTCTCTGCAACTCTTCTTCATGTTTGAACCATAAGGCAAAGGTGATGCAGGGTATTTTATTTCATACATAAAAGTAGTAATACAAAATTTTATCTGTAAACTGAATATCTCATTTTATTTCATACATAATGGGGAAGGACATTTGATGTAAAACAAAACTAGAATGACTACTTGAAATGAAAGTTGCATAACATACATAGGCCGGGACGTACAGTTTTGTAATTAAACTAGGAACTCTTATTATCTCACATACTCATCCTCTCCACTCTCCAAGCTCAAATTTATTCCGAATCAGAAAGGTATCTCAGTTTTTTATAAGAGTTCAAAGTACACATTAATTAGCATGTAAATATAAAATTAACATACCCACTCATAATATAAGCACCTTCCTGACTTCCATCCAGGTCAGGTTGTGACTCGAGGCTGCTTTAACTCTTTAAAAAATTTAATTGATGTAAGGAGCAATAAATTTTGAAGCAAATTAGGATACCATACACAATTACACATCCACTAATATATAATATTCAACTTGAAAGAAAATAATAGACTTACTGCTTCTAAATGTTGAATCACAAAAAAAATCATTTCTCTAGTTTTCCGACAAAGTTGTAGTTACATGTTGATGTTGATGATTACCCCACAATGAAAAGCTGTTCCACATTAACCTTGTTGGTTACTTAAGCAGCTGTCAAAAATTATACAGCCCAAGACGACGTGGTTTTGGAGCTGTATTATATATATATTATTTTTAATTTTCCTTATTTCAGATTTGAGATTGCACGCTCGTCACTCCTCGTCTCTGCTTCTCCTGTCTCTCGTCTCCGTTCATTGAATCGTCGCCTCTCGGCCTCTCTGCCGGCTTACCGCCTTACCGCCTCAACGCCTCTGCCCTCTCGTCTCCTCTGACTCCCAGGTTCTTATTTTTGCCCTAAATCCCTAATTTCTCCAATTTTATTTTTAATCAATTTAATATATGTGCTTAAGTGATTTGTTGAATTTGTTTATGAATAATGAATGTGAGCAGAGAGCAGTTCGCCAGTTTGGTATGGCCTAATGGCCGTATTTGGTATACGGTATATGGCAATTGGCAGATTGGCAGGTCATAATAATGAATCATGAATGTGCTGTTTGGTAGATTACTAGATTGTTGATTTGTTCAATTTGTGAGCAATTTGTTGATTTCTTGAATTTGTGATTTTGTGAATGAATGTGTGAGCAGTGAGGTAGTTATATCAATTAGAGATGATTTAAGCACCTAACATCAAATCTACACAATTTTGCAATGAATCATCAGCTCCGGCTCCAGGTGGCAAACCTGTAAATTCGACCAATGCCACCATTCCATCCTTCACTTATTCCATTCTCACTTGACACTTCAAAGCTTCCCGTACATGCAGTTATAGCTCAGATCACTGCTTTTAAGTAAAAAACTCTACTCTATATTGGAATTAATTATATAAATAAATAAACAAAAAATTCTTCTATGTATAAATGGGTGGGAGGGAAGAGTTGTACCTTTCATTTTTTAGGATCAAACTACACCTAATGTTATACTCCCTCCGTCCCATTTTGTTTGTCTGGTTCGTTTAACGAGGCTTGACTGAAGCTATTTTTACTTCATTTTTTCATAATATTAAATTTATTTTTAGTATATAAAATTTATATATTTAGAAACTACATTAAAAGTACTATTAAACATAAAAAATCAAATTTAAAAATAATTAAAAATTACTAAAGAAAATAAGCAATGAAGAAAGAGTTGGATTGACCAATGAATAGTAAACAGGACATGCAAAATGGGACAGAGGGAGTAACTATTTTATTGGATTAAAAAAAAAAAGGATGAAGTAAACAGTGTGTTTGATCAAGCTGCATTCAGATCATTTAACTTTTTTTTTTTAAAGGTACAAATAATATTTCTTGAATATAATATAAAATTTTTTAAAAAGGAAAAAAAGGGTTAAATAGGATTTCCAACTTTATACGAAAATGCAATTAGCCACTCAAACTTACAAAAAATGTAATAAAACATTCCAACATAGTAAAATGGGTTAATATATATGCCATCGTTGACCACCATCGGTTGCCTCGATCGCCATTGACCATAACAATCGGAGAAAAATTGACAATCGACAACCAACGATCGATCGTCGGTTGTCCTCTTTGAAAAAGGTGATCGGTTGGTCTCCCTATTTTGCGTAGAAGTGTCGCACTATCTGGCGGAGAAGGCAATCACTGCCTCACTGGTCGTCATCTCTAGGCAAAGGCCACCATTGCGGTTGCCTTCTGCTCGGATGAAGTATGTGACCATCGTTGACTGCCCGTCGTCGGAGTATCGTCTGAATTCTGGGTGACTTGTTATCACATTTCATTAATTAATTTTAAAATTTTAATGTACTAAAATAACAAGTTTATGAGTATAATTACATTTTTAAAAGTTTTAATAACACTTTTACAAAAGTTGGATGGTCTATTTTACCTTTTCTAAAGCAAAAAAAAAAAAAAAAAAAGACAGGATAAATTATAGTACTCCGGTCTTCGTATTTGTCTATTAACATGTTCTCTACAGAAACAATTGCCTTAGGACAAACGTGTCTCTCTTCGACATCTTCACTGTTCACGTCTTTTTCCCTTTCTTCCATTGCTCGTCTGTGTCTTTGTTCTTTTCCTGAATTATTATTTTTTTCCTAATTCCCTTCCCCTTCTGTTTCTTTCTTTAGCATGAGACAACAAACCCTCTAAGACAGACTTGAAGAACAAATCTATATCTCCTTTCACGCCCACCGGATCTCAGGTTTTGATCACATGCAATACTCTACTTATTGTCATTTATGCGTTAATCAATTTTATCAATTCCATTTCTCATTATCTTTGGTATTTAAATTGGGCATTATTAGATGCTAGTATAATAAATATAGATTGATGAACTTGTGATTCAGAGGTTGCCGGTCTTGTGGCAGGCCCAGTGAGAAGTTGTGAAGTGACAGGCTATAAGTATGTTGCGAGAGAGGGTCAGGCGAGCCATACTCCCTCCTGCTCAGGAGGTAAATAACCCATCCAATCTAATCCTACTCTCCTGTGATTCTCAATTTTCTAGACATTTTTCTTCTTCATTCTTAATTTGGTATTTTATGGTTTTTGCCATTGATTGGATATGTGGGAAACTTCATTTCTATTAGTTTAATTTTTTTTTTTTTTTTTTGGTGGAGATTGTAGAATATTGACAAGTTGGAGAAGGTTCTGAAAGATGGAAACTACTATGGAGCTCAGCAGATGTTTAAGTCTATTAGTGCCAGGTTCCATTGCTGACATTTCTCCTTTCTTTAGATTTTTTTTACTCTAATACTCTATTATTGATCACATCTTGAATTCCCGACATTTACTGGTTTGTTCCAGATATGTGGGCGCTGAGAGGTTTTCTGATGCATTGGATTTTCTTCAGTTTGGGGCCTGTGCACAATTGGAAAATGAACAGGTTATACTTTTCTCACTTACGTATTTGCTATCAGTTTGGTTAATAATTAGCACAAGCCTTTTGAAATGTGTAACCTCCAAGGGCCTTTATTGATTGGAAAAACAATTTTCTATAATGAAACTGATAATGAGGACTGGAGTTATCAACTTGATAAAATGGTTATTAGTTATTATACCTCAAGCACATCGTACACACATCCAGATATGAAGGTTTAGTTAGCTTTCTAGCATGGATATAATCGTTAGTATTAAACCTTTTAAGAACCGAATGTTGTGAAAAGCATTCAATTTAGGGGTGATTTTCACCATCTGAATAGCACAAGCTAGAGGAAAAGGTGCAGAAATCAGAAAACGAGTAGGATATGAAAAGAATCCTAACCCTACAAGTAACTTCTTTTCAAATGAATTGCATTTGGTTTCTTCATCATGTAGGTTACCTGTGGGGGGGAGCTTGCTGTTTTGTTTGTGGACACCCTCGTAAAAGGAAACTTCTCTTATGATGATGACACTCTTGGTTAGTATTTCTTATGTGAATCAAGCTAATGTAAATCTTTGTATTTTCTTTCACGCATTATACTTCCTATTTGTGTCTAATATGATTGTTCTGATTTATCATGGGCTAGTTGTCTCAACTGGTATTCTCTTAGTCCTTTAGAAGGGAAGAACAATGTATGATCCCCCCAACCCCATATACCATTGTGTCAAAAAGTATTCAAACTTGGCTTTTGTCCACTTGCAAGTTATAATTTTCCCTCAGCAATTTCTGAAAGAAAGTGAGGCAACAAAATTTTTTAACATGGGGGATTATTCTTTTAAAGAGTGGTACAAAGAAGAAATGCTCTAAAGTGAAGTTTTCTGCTTTCTGCGGACCTGTATTAGTTATAACATGAATATATTCCCTCGATTTGAGGAAGTAAGATTGTCACTGTAAATGTTCTTCACAAATTGTAACTGCAAAATCTATCCACAGTAAATAGTGCATCTATCAAGAGCCTTGCACTTTTTCTTTAATCAAACTCCTCTCCAAAATATTGTCACTTTTATTTATGTCTGAGCTACATATATCATATATTGAATTGATGTGGCTCTTGAAGAACTTCTAAGCGTTTTGGTTTTGCACTTGGTTATGACATATTTTAATCTTTAGACCGCATAAGGAAAATCTACAAGAAGTTTCCTAGAATTACAGTGCCACAAAATTTGGAGCTAGCTGATGATGATGACATGCAAAAAGTTGCAGAAGCCCTCACTGCAGCAAAAACACGAGTAGAGGCTTGTACATCCTTTTTGAAAGCTGCCCTCAAGTAAGACTCTAATTCTTTCTATGGATGCTTACATGAGTATCTATCAATAACATTTTGAGGCAGTTCATCAGAAACACTTGGGAAATACACCAAGGAATTTGCTTCTTCTTCTTTTCTGTGTGTGTGTGTGTGTGGGGGGGGGGGGGGGGGGGGGGGGTTGTAAATATCTGGTCTAACATTTTGAGGCAGTTCATCAGAAACACTGGGGAAATACATCAAGGAATTTGCTTATTCTTCTTCTTTTGTGTGTGTGTGTGTGTTGTTGGGGGGGGGGGGGGGGGGAGTTGTAAATATCTGGTTTATTATTATTATTATTATTATTATTATTTGTTGGAGGCTTGTATTACTGTCGTATACCCTGACACAAATATGGGTTAATGGATCAGGGTATGGTTCAAATGGTTGGTTTGGTGATGAATTGGGGCTGGGATTGGACCTACTTGTTGATTATTTCTTTTCTATAATGTATGCAAATGACTCTTTAAACTTTTGCCTCAGGTGGTCCCATGAATTTGGAGCACATAAGTATGGATCTCCAGAGCTTCATGACATGTTGGCTGAATATATATTCTCAGAGTCACCTGAGGTGGTGCGTTTCTACTTTCTAGTACTGGTTCATTTCCTCTTTTGCACTTCATTCTAATATATGCATACATTTGTATGCGTGTGTATATATGTATAATTGATTGATATACCATTGACATATTATGGTGATTCTGTTCTGTTAGCTATTGCTAATTTCTTTGATTAATGCTTCACTGGACATGCAAAATTAGTATGAAATACGGAGTAATATATTAATGCTTCGTGTTCATCTTGTATCTAACATATTTATGCTTCATAGGACATGGGTAAAGTATCTTTCCATTTTGTCAGAGGGAAGAATCCGAAGAAATTCACTTCAACTGTTATCAATTTCATGGGCAAGGTTAAACTTCATCTTCTTCAATTTAAAATTTCTTTTTATAGGTTCAACTGAGAAAATGCTATAAACTTCATAAAGTTGATGATATGTTATTTTGTTATATGCATAATTTCTCATTTTCTCTTAATGATTTGTTTGATGGACACGTGTGAATTGTATTTCTCGATTTGCAGTGTTACCCTGGAGAAGAGGATTTGGCTATTGCTCGGGCAGTTTTAATGTAAGTTTGAACATTACTTACTGATCTTGCTACTCTGGCTGCCGTATTTTGAACTTTGGTACCAGAGTTCTTAGGCATGAATTTCTGTATATTCTCAACTTTACGATTTACATTTTCAGTTTTTAAAATTTTAGAATGTTTGCATTGTACTTACGGAACTTTGTGTGCTGCTATTCCCTTTCATGTTTATTCTTACATCCAGTCTTGTGAAATGAGAGATGATGTTTGAGATTTGTGAAGAAAATGAGTATATATATTTTTTAAATCTTCCATAAATGTTAGATAGGACATGGTAATTTACTGTGAACTTTTGATGTTCTGTTTTACATGTTTAAAATATAGCAGGACCAATTTTGCCTATGGAAAACTAACTATGCAGTACTGCCATAGTGCCGTGTGTTGGGCATCATACTTGAGCCATAAGTATAAGTGTCAGTGAGAATGTAAGGATACAGAATATATGGAAGTGGCTCTATTCAAGAATCTCACAGCTATTATCCTATTATATTTATGGGAGCCATTTCCTTACTGATTTTGTAATAATGTCGGATAATAAAAATAGTAACGGTCTAACGGATGGGGTACATTTTGTAATTTGTCAAAAAATTTTAATTTTTTGTATCTGGCATTGTTAGTTTGTTATGGATTGGCATAGAAGAATTTTCTTGTATTTATATGCAATCAAGATTGGTTACTTGTGGTTTTTTCTTACTGCTAGGTATTTATCCCTGGGCAACCTACGAGATGCCAACTATATTATGGATGAGTTAAAAAAACAAGTCAGCTCTAAGGAGCTTGAGTTTCCTGAATTAGAATTAATGCAGTTCATCAGTTATCTTCTTCTGACGTAAGTTGATTACATTATCATTATTTTCTTCCAAATTGTTGAAACACAAAAGTTGTGTCTGTAGAAATATAGCTGTTGAAGTTGTGTAGGGTTGTGTCTATTAGGATTGTGTCTCTTAGTTTGTATATATATTTATCTATTGTCTCCTCATTGAGACAAGCAAGTAATAAAAACTTCTTCTACATCTTCTTTCTCAACATGGTATCAAGAGCCAAAAGTCAAAATTTGAAATTTTTTTTTCCGGTGAACAGTACATTTACTGTTCATTCGAAATTAATTTTTCAAATTACTTGCTATTGGTGAGATATTTTATCAAATTAGTACTACAGCCGCCTTACCCATCCTCCGGCGACCATTACCCATCAATTTCGGTCGCCGGAATCTCCTCCACGCGCCACCGTGTCGCCGGCGCTCCGACACCACGCGCCGGCGCGTGAGGCCATCTCCGGCGGCCTTTTCCGGCGAGATTTTCCAGTTCGTATCGTCGGCTCTCCTCCTTTCCTTCCGTGCAATCAGATTTATTTTTGGTCACGATGTCTTCCGACGGAAATTCTGATAATTCGGGTACTATTTCTCCTGCCAATAATTTATCTACTTCTTCGAGCTCTGTTTATGTGCCTAATCTGTCTGGAAACCCGGTAATCACTTCTGAAAGATTATGTGGTTCTCAAAATTACCACTCTTGGTCGGATGCCGTAGAATTATGGTTTATGGGCCAAGGTGTTGTTGACCACTTGCAAAAAGAAGTGGATATGATACCGGAAAAAGAAAAGACAGTTTGGCAAAGGTTAGATGCTCAACTTTGTAGTCTCCTTTGGCAGTCTCTTTCTCCACAATTGTTGCCTTTATTCCGGCCCTTTAAGACATGTGTCGGGGTGTGGAGTCAAGCTCAATCTCTGTACACTAATGATGTCTCTCAATTCTATAATGTTGTTGACAATTTGGTTAACTTGAAGAAAGATGGTATTGATATGGAAACTTTTCTTGGCAAAGCCCAAAGTTTGATTGCTGAGTTTGGTACACTCATGCCTATTGGTGGTACACCCGCAGAGCAACTTACCCAACGAGAGAAATTCTTTGTCATACTTCTCTTAACCAAATTAGGTCCAGAATTTGAAAGCATCCGGAATCAAGTTCTTGGAAGCAACATTGTCCCGGGGACCACCGAGTTGTTCAAACGGCTCTTGCAGGTCACCTCCATTCCGGGTACTCACACATCCACTACCGAACAATCTGCTCTAGTCACACAAGGTGGTCGTGGACGAACTAACAATCGTGGTGGACAGGAAAACACTAGAGTGTGTGATTATTGTAATAGAACTGGGCACACACGAGATCAGTGTTGGAAACTTCATGGGAGACCGGTACGTACGCAAGCAAGTGTTGCTCAATCTCAACCTGGGGAACCAAATTCTCGAACCATTTCTGCTGCTGAGTATGAAGAGTTTGTCCGATTTAAAGCCACTCCCAAAGCTTCTGGTTTAACTCCTGCAGCCTACACTGATGGAACTCATACTGCCCTTGTATCACAATCTGGCCTGAGCGGACCATGGGTTATCGATTCAGGTGCCTCTGAGCATATCTCTGGTAACTCATCTTTATTTTCTCATTTCACCAAGTCTAAGTCCCTTCCATCTATTGTTTTCGGTAATGGGTCCAAGAGTACGGCTACTGCAATTGGAAAGGCTTCCCCCCTTCCTACTTTGCCTCTCTCTTCAATTCTTTATATACCTAACTGTCCTTTCAATTTAATTTCTGTTCATCAACTTACAAAATCTTTGGACTGTACGGTCACTTTTTCTTCTGATTCTGTCATTATGCAGGACCGTCGTTCGGGGAAGATGATTGGCTCGGGGTATGAATCAGAAGGACTTTATCGATTATCTACCCCAAACCCTTCTACAGTTTGCACTGCTACCATTCCTCCTTCCCTTGCCCATGACCGACTAGGACATCCTAGCCTTAAAAAATTACGGCGACTTGTCCCTAGTTTGTCTCACTTATCTACCCTAGAGTGTGAAGCCTGTCAGCTTGGCAAACATTCTAGAACATCGTTTCCTAATCGTGTTAATAAAAGAGCTGCTTTCCCTTTTTCCTTAGTTCATACTGATGTTTGGGGACCTTTTCGTTATAATTCAATTCTTGGTTTTAAATATTTTGTTACCTTCACTGATGATTTTTCTCGTTGTACATGGGTCTTTTTAATGCAAAACCGTTCTGAAGTACTTAATGTTCTTCAAAAATTTGTTAATGAGATAAAAAATCAGTTTGGGGTGTCTATTAAAACTTTACGAAGTGATAATGCTGGAGAATACTTTACAACTCCTTTATCTAACTTTCTTGATTCAGCGGGCATCCTCCATGAGTCATCTTGTCCCGATACTCCACAACAAAATGGGGTATCTGAATGTAAAAACTGGCATCTCGTTGAAACAGCCCGCACCATGATTCTCCACTATAAAGTCCCTCCAGAATTCTGGGCAGATGCTATCCTTCATTCCTGTTATTTAATAAATCGTATGCCTTCATCTGTTTTACATGGTAAGATACCTTATAATATTTTATTTCCCGATAAGCCTCTTCATACTCTTCCTTTAAAAATTTTTGGGTGCACCTGTTTTGTCCGGGACACTACCCCACGGCGTGATAAATTTTCTCCAAAATCCTTAAAATGCATGTTTGTTGGGTACTCTAGGTTGCAAAAGGGTTTCAGATGTTATTCTCCTGATAAGCATCGATTTTATGTATCTTCTGATGTTACTTTCTTTGAATCAACACCTTTCTTTTCGTCTAGTTTACCGACCTCCATCTCTCATTTTCCTGATGTTTTTCCTGTTCCTACTTTTCAAGGAGGGACCGAGGTACATTTACCTCAAGATCCGTCATCACTTAGAAATCCTAGTCCCTCACCTACTGAACCTCCTTTACAAAACAACGGTGTTACCCCCTTTCCTTACACTTATCATCCCGCTCTCGACCACCCGCGACAGTTCAAATCGATGAAATCCCAACTGATTCATCTCTCGAGCTATCTATGCCCTCGAACCCGGTTCCGGCAACAAGCTCTCCTATTGCAAGTCGTGTAGGTAACAGGTCATCACGAAATCCCTTTCCCATATACAACTTTATTTCATATGATAATCTCTCACCTTCATATAATGCTTTTATCACATGTTTATCTTCTGTTTCTGCCCCTAAATCTGTTAAAGAAGCCCTTTCCCACCCTGGTTGGCGTCAGGCTATGATTGATGAAATGGCTGCTCTTCATTCATCGGGAACTTGGGAGTTAGTTTCATTACCCGAAGGTAAAACAACTGTTGGTTGCCGATGGATCTATACTGTGAAAGTTGGGCCCAATGGACAAGTTGATAGACTTAAAGCTCGACTGGTAGCTAAAGGATATACACAGGTTTTTGGGATTGATTACACTGACACCTTTTCACCAGTAGCTAAAATTGCTTCGGTCAGAATCTTTCTTTCTATGGCTGCCGTTCATCATTGGCCCTTGCATCAGTTAGATATTAAAAATGCCTTTCTGCATGGAGATTTAGAGGAAGAAGTCTACATGGAGCAACCTCCTGGGTTTGTTGCTCAGGGGGAGAGTAACTTGGTTTGTAAGCTCAAACGTTCTCTCTATGGTCTAAAACAATCTCCTCGTGCCTGGTTTGGACGGTTCAGCATAGTAGTGCAAAATTTTGGTTTAAATCGAAGCAAAGTTGACTATTCCGTCTTTTATAGACATCAACATGGTAAGAGCATTTATCTTGTTGTATATGTTGATGATATTGTCATTACAGGAGATGATGTTGAAGGAATACAATTGTTGAAACAACATCTATTCCAACATTTTGAAACAAAAGATCTGGGGAAGTTAAAATACTTTTTGGGAATTGAAGTAGCACAATCCAAGCAAGGAATTTGCATATCACAAAGAAAGTATGCATTGGATATACTAGAAGACACAGGTATGATGAATTGCAAACCTCTTGACACTCCTATGGATCCAAATATCAAACTCCTACCAGACCAGGGGGAGCTTATCCAAGATCCGGGAAAATATAGACGATTGGTTGGAAGATTACTTTATTTAACTGTAACTCGACCTGATATCTCTTTTGCGGTAAGTGTTGTTAGTCAGTTCTTGGCATCTCCACGTGAAAGTCATTGGGAAGCTGCCATTCGGATTTTACGATATATTAAAAAATCTCCAGGCACTGGTTTGTTATACAAAGACCATGGAAACCTTGAAATTATTGGGTACACAGATGCAGATTGGGCAGGTGCATGGGATAGAAAATCAACATCTGGATATTGTATCTTTCTTGGTGGCAACTTAATCTCTTGGAAAAGTAAAAAGCAAAATGTTGTTGCTCGATCAAGTGCAGAAGCCGAATATCGATCTATGGCCGTTGGAACATGTGAACTTGTGTGGTTGAAAAACCTCCTTACCGAACTGCAGATTTTTACAAAGGAGTCCATGAAGCTCATTTGTGATAACCAAGCAGCTTTGCATATTGCATCAAATCCAGTTTTTCATGAAAGGACGAAACACATTGAAATTGATTGCCATTTTGTTCGAGACAAAGTTACTTCTGGAGATATTACTACATCTTTTATAGGCTCAAATAATCAATTAGCTGATATATTTACTAAAGCTTTAAGAAGTCATAGGATTGAATACATTTGTAACAAGCTTGGTGCATATGATATACATGCTCCAGCTTGAGGGGGAGTGTTGAAACACAAAAGTTGTGTCTGTAGAAATATAGCTGTTGAAGTTGTGTAGGGTTGTGTCTATTAGGATTGTGTCTCTTAGTCTGTATATATATTTATCTATTGTCTCCTCATTGAGACAAGCAAGCAATAAAAACTTCTTCTACATCTTCTTTCTCAACACAAATATCTTATAAAACATTGGTTTCTTTCAAGACCTTGCAGAACTGTCTCAAATGCTATGCTTCATCCACTTAGAATTTGGTTTGAAGACAACTGCGTTAATTCTTTTAGTTTTTGTTTTTTGTTTTGTCATTTTTATGGTTGAATTCTTTTTAATTACCACCTATATTTGTTGCAAAATAGCATAGTAATTATAGAAATGTCCACTTAAAGGTGTCAGTTTGCTCTAGTACCATCTGATTATGAGAGCATTGTGGTTTTATGTAATGAATTAGACCATCAACTCCTTTTCCTCTCTGTATTTTGCAATTTAGAGTCTAAAGAGCTGTTTGCTACTGCATTTGAATTATAATTATAATGCAGGTTGCAGAGAGATGCAATCCCTCTGTTTAATAAGTTGAGGGTGGTCTACAAGCTGAGTATAGAAAGAGAACCAACATTTAATGAGGTCTGCAATATCTCCTACTTGAAATACTTTTCCATCTGTTAGATATTTTGGCTAAAACATGCTTGGGTCAGATGAAGCTTGCAGTTATTTGCCTCATTTGTCTTGATGCTATACTTGCTGTGTAGTTGTTAGATGAAATAGCAGAGAAGTTTTATGGATTACGACGCCAGAGCCCACTGCAGGGGATGTTTGGAGATATCTTTAAGGTAACATTCCTGTTGAAATGCTTTTATTCTCATTCTTGGGCTTTAAACCCGCGAAACAAACAGTATCCTAATGCTGATGAAAAATCTCCTTCAAATCCTAATTCATCACACGGTTTTCCTCTTCCCAGATGATGGGAGGCGATATGAGTGTTTGAGTTGCGTTTGCTAATGAGCTACAACAGCAGTTGGTTCCTTGAAATCATGTGCAGTGCAGTGCAATTGAGTTCAATATGTATATGCAGGGGGTGTCTGCATCAAAATAGTGGGCCATTTATGTATTGACTGTTTTGATGTTTCACTTGGCTTATTATAATTCTATGTGAAACGTCATTCTTTTTCTGCGTTTTATAATGCAAACATGCAATGCACTTTTCATTAACAGAAGAATTTGGTAACAATTGTGGTGGAGCTGGAGTGGATTTGGGGTTTTAAGTAACTTAGTTGTAGTTTTGTCTGTCTTTATGTCCTTTTGTTTGATTTCCAACTGCCACAAAAAAGCTTTTGATTATCTAAAATTTTGTGGCTATGTGCCCACCGAGTCACCTACGCTTGAATTTTTTTTTTTTTTTTTTTTTTTTTTTTGCTTTTTAACTAAAATTTATTAATGATGCTCGTCTAAGTGTATTGTCCAGTAAATATCTTTAGCCTTCATTTTTTTTTTTAAAGAATATTAGCACATGGAACAACTCGCAAAGTTAGACAGATGTACATATCAAAAGACAATGATGAATGTTAGCATGAAAACTAAAGCACTTATTTTATTTTATTTTATTTTTTAGGGTTATTGAAATAGAATTTCAATCGAAATTCATGTTTTTCAATTTTATTATTGTTTCTGTATACAGAGCATGTCATGAATTTTGACTATAATTTTATTGCATGCATTAAATTTGCTCCAATTTAATCTCTATCCACTCAGGGGGTGTTTAGTTCACGAAACGTTAGATACCTTAAGAAATATTAGATTGATAGGAATGTTAGATTATTGAAAATATGTAAATAAGACAATGGTAAAATTGAGAATTTTATATTCCAAAATAAATATAATTTTAGTTATCTTATTTAACTTGCACTAAAATCCCTTAAAACCCTCTGGAAGTGTTTGTCATTAGTGGATTGAAAATTAACATTCTTGTATTTGAGTCATCCTATTTGTTATTAGTGGATTGAAAATTAAGATTCTTGTATTCGAGTCATCCTATTGAAAATTGTAATTAACTAATTGGATTTGCATTTGCATTTATTACTGAAGGTATGTTTAATTAACTAAATTAAGGGTTTAAAAGTTAATTATTTACTGGACAGTTTAGTATGTAAAATTGACTAATTAACTAAATTATGTAGTGGTTTAGAATCCTCCTTCCTAGGATAGCTACTGGTTCTGTGAGAGTCAGACCATCTGGGCCAACCTGGGGAGGTTCAATTTGGGCTTGCCTCCCACTGGGCCAACCTGGGGAGGTTCAATTTGGGCTTGCCTCCCACTGCCAACCCTCCGCTTGAGCTGTGACACATGGAAGACCGGGTGGATTAAGGCTCCAGCTGGTAGTTTTAGTCTGTAAGCAACCTGCCCTGCTTTGTCCAATACTTCATAAGGTCCATAAAACTTAGAACTGAGCTTGATATTTTTCCTGATAGCCATGGTGACTTGTCTATAAGGTTGCAGCTTAAGGTAAACCATGTCCCCTACTGCAAATGCCCTCTCAGTTCTATTTCTGTCCGCATAGTGTTTCATTCTCTGCTGTGCTACCCTCAGATTTTCTTTAAGTACTCTCATCATATGCATTCTCTCTTGAACCCAACTCTCTACATTCTCATCTGCAACCCTTGTTGCATCATTTACAGCCAACTGTGGAGGTGGATACCCATACAGGGCCTGGAAGGGAGACATTCTCAATGAGCAGTGGTAGTTGGTGTTATACTAGTGTTCTGCCAAGGCAAGCCAATTCTCCCACTCTTTAGGTTTGTGAGACCTCATGCACCTTAGGTAAGTTTCCAAACACCTATTAATCCTTTCTGTTTGTCCATCTGACTTGGGGTGATAGGAGGAGCTCATGTGTTGCTGAGTCCCCATCCTTCTAAAGGCCCCTTTCCAAAACTTGCTGAGAAAGATCTTGTCCCTGTCTGACACAATCCCTTGTGGTATCCCATGCAACTTATACACATTTTCCATGTATAAGTTAGCCACTTTCTCTGCAGTGAAGGGGTGAGATAAGCTGATGAAATGAGCATACTTAGTGAATCTGTCCACCACCACCATTATAACATTTTTATTGTTGGACTTAGGTAACCCTTCAATAAAATCCATGGATACCTGTGCCCAAGCTTGATCAGGAATTGCGCTGCAAAAGACCAGGAGGGTGTATATTCTCAGTTTTGTTCCTTTGGCAATTATCACATTCCTTAACAAATTGCTTGACTTCCTTTTTCATGCCCTTCCAGTAGAAGAGTGCTTTCAGCCTGTAATAAGTCACTTGAATTCCAGAATGACCCCCTAGAGCAGAGTTGTGAAATTCATTGATCAATTTCTCCCTTAGTTCCCCATGAGAGCCAATCACCAGCCTGCCTTTATGTTTCATCAATCCATTTTCCATCCTCATAGTTGGAACAGAATTTGGGTCCAACAGAAGGGTAGTGGCTGCTTCTTGTACCCAATCATCCTTAGTGTAGCTTTGCAGTACCTCTTCTATCCAAGCAGGTTTTAAGCTAGATAAAGCATTGTAGTTTCCTAGTTCTTATTTTCTAGATAGTGCAGCAACTGCTGTATTGTCTTTTCCCTTCTTGTACACAATAAAATAGTCTAAGCCTAACAGATTAGTTAGCCCCCTTTGTTGAATGACTGTGGTGATTTTCTGTTCCAGTAGATACTTTAGGCTTTGGTGGTTAGTTTGGATGACAAAATGTCTTCCTTGAAGGTAAAGCCTCCACTTCTCCACTGCATTAAGTATGGCCAAGTATTCTTTTTCATAAATGGACCACCCAATGTGTTTAGGTCCCAACCCTTTACTGTAATAAGCTATTGGCTTTCCTTCCTGCATCAACACGACCCCAATTCCCCTACAAGATGCATCGGTTTCCACTACAAATTCCTTCTCAAAATTGGGCATAGCTAGGACTGGGGCTGAACACATGGCTGTCTTTAAGTGTTCAAAAGCTTGTTGTGACTCATTAGACCATGAAAATTCATTCTTCTTGAGCATATCTATCAATGGCTTGCAAATGGCCCCATACCCTCTGATAAATCTTCTATAATAGCCAGTGAGCCCCAAGAAGCCCCTTAATGCTTTAATAGTTGAAGGTTTTGGCCAAGACATCACAACTTCTACCTTGGTAGGATCAGTAGATAAACCCTCTCCTGACAGAATATGTCCCAAGTATTCCACTTGCTTCTGAGCAAAAAAACATTTACTTCTTTTGGCAAATAGGCTCAACGACTGCAGAGTAGTGGCAAGGTGTTCCAGCTGGGCCTCCAACCCTGGACTGTAAACTAAGATATCATCAAAAAATACCATGATAAACCTTCTCAAGTGGGGAAGAAATACCTCATTCATTAGGACTTGGAAGGAGGTTGGGGCATTAGTAAGACCAAATGACATTACCTTAAACTCGCACAAGCCTTGGTGTGTTTTAAATGCAGTCTTGAATTCTTCTCCTTCTTTCATTCTAATCTGATGGTAACCGGCGGCCCTCAAGTCTATTTTTGAAAAGTATATGGGACCTGATAGCTCTTGAGAATAAATCCTCTACCACTGGGATATGGTATTTATTCTTGATGGTGATCAAGTTCAATGTTCTATAATCCACACCGAATCTCTATGATCCATTTTTCTTTGGCACTAACAGTACTGGAGATGCAAAGGGGGAAGTAATGGGGCATACAATTCCAGCCTGCATCATTTCAGCAATCAGCCTCTCAATAATGTCTTTTTGATCATGAGTGTACCTGTAGGCTTTCAGATTAACAGGACTTGCATTAGCCACCAAGGGAATGGCATTTTCATGCAACCTAGCAGGGGGGTAATCTTATGGTTCATTAAAAACATCAGCATATTGAGATAGTAAGTCCTTCACCTTAGTGTCCATAATTTCAGTAGGGGACAAGGAGGACTCTATTGCATTGCAGGAACCTAATAGAACATTAGGTCTTTGTTCTGAGGCACAACAGTAGATTAAGAACCCCAAGGCCCATTTCTTAGCCCAATTAGTCCTCTCTTTGTTAGAGGCCTTTAAGATTTATCCTTCCAAAGATTCCTTGTAATGTGATTTCCCTTCCTTCTTTACAGAATGTGATTCCTAGGGGTCTAGTGTGCAGTTGGATGGGAGAAAATTGGTCCAGCCAGTCCATGCCCAACACCATATCACACCCACCCATTCTCAACAACATGAAATCCCTTTGGAACTCTTCTCCTTGCACTGTCCAAGTAAACTCACTGCAGGCTTCTTCACATGCCAAGGTCTGCCCATTGGCTACTGTAACATAGAGGGGATGGGTCTTGTAGGTGTGAGTTTTGAGTCCTTGGACCACCACAGGATCCAAGAAACTATGTGTACTACCTGTATCCACAAGAATAATCAATTTCTTTTTTCCCACTCTTCCCAACAACTTGATTGTACTCAGTCTTTGTCCTCCTAGCATAGCCAAGAGAGAAACCTCAGCGAGACCTTCATTCTCCTCACTCCTAATTTCAGTGCTTACTGGTGGCCCTCCTCAACACTCTCTCTTTGATCAAGGTGGCCCTCCTCAATCCCTATAATTACATTGAATGTCTTAGGTCAGCATTTGCGTCCATGTTTCCACTTTTCTCTGTAGTAGAAACACAGTTTCTGTTCTTTGAGTTTCTCTAATTCAGCCTGACTCAGTTGCACCATAGGCTTGCTTTTATTTACACTCATGGATCCGGTAGAAGATGCCCTAGGATTGATAGTTGTCGACTTGTTCTGCCCCTTCCCTAGCCCTTTAGTTCCCATCAGGCCTTCTTCAAACTGTCTAGCGTAGACATATGCATCTATCAAGGTTAATGGGTTGGCAGCCTTGACAAAGCATCTTATGTGCCCCTTTAGCCCACTGATCTAGTTTCTGATGAAGTAGACCTCTTTAATGTGGGGTGTGCAATCAACATCTGAATTTTTAGCTCATCATACCTGTGGTTGTACTCTTCCACCATACCAGTTTGCCTAAGCAATTTAAATTCTTCTTCCACATATTCCAGATCTAGAGAGCTGAATCTCTTGCATACATCCTCTGCAAATTCATCCCAAAATACTTTTCCCCCATGATCAATCACATACCTCTCAAACCAGGCATCAATTCCTCCCTTAATATAGAAAGAGACATATTCCATTTCCAATTCATCAGGAATACGGTATAACAAGAAGAATTTATTGCATCTCCTAATCCAACCCCTAGGGTTTGTACCATCAAATTCGTGGAAATCAATCCTAGGTTTAGGGAAATCGTTGCTACGCAATATGTTTCTAGGTTGATCCCAGTTATTAACTTGTATTCCAGATACAGCATCACTATAGGTAAGAACTGGACGGTTACCTCCATGTGCGCGATTCACAGATGCGCTTCCTCCTTCTGTGTGCTGCGTATGTGCCCTGGTCGGAGACGGAATTGTAGACGCTGGCGGTGGATTAGCCGCCGCTTGAATTGTCATCGCTACCATCCACTGTCTTACTTCCGCTTGGAATGCTTGGAAGGCTCCTAATGCCTCTGCGTTAGCCCTCTAGGTGTCATTCAATTGCGTTTGCACCGCTTGCATGTGCTCCTGCATCTCGGCGATTTGTCTGGCAGCTTCATCGTAGTCGCAGCGAGTGTTAGTCATCGGTTTGGAAGCTCTGATACCAGCTGTAATGGTTTTGCTTGAGTGGTAATAGAATACGGAAGAAGAAGAAGAGAAAGTGAATAAAAGTCGGTAGATTATTCAACGAAAGATCTCTCTGCTTACAAGAAGTGACAACAATATTCTAACTAATCAGGGGTACAATTGTCCTTGCATACTCTAACTGCCTCTAACTGTAAAACGCTGCGTTTGACAATGGGGTTTGTTACAAATTAGTAAAAAATCTAAAAATTAATAATTTCTTCCTTATCATTTGTAATCTTTGTATCACCCCTAACCCCAGTCGTCGATTCCATTTTATCATAAGAACGGAGAGGGCATATACATCTGCAAAAATGGTGGTTAGGCTGAGATTGTCGAGGTTCGGGTGCAAGAACAAGCCATTCTACAGAGTGATGGCTGCCGACGGCAGATCTCCCAGAGACGGCAAGCATTTGGAAGTCCTCGGTTACTATAACCCCCTACCAGGTAAATCCCTAGGCAACACCCGCTTTCAATTTCGCCGCACCTACCTATTTGCTGCTGTAAATTCTAGATTGCTTGTAGTTTCTTATGTAAAGCGACTAAATTTATTGGACGCGTGAAAATTATTTAGTTTATTTGCTTAAATATTGCTTTAAATTTGGCAAATCTATCAAGTAAACTTTGATTGTGAGACTAAGGAGGGAAATTTATATACATTACAAATTTTCATATTTTTGAGTGACAACCACCATAGCTGGCAAAAATACTAGGTAAATCAACCTAGGTCGCTCATAACTAACTCAAACCAGTAACACTAATAGACCGCTCCAGTTGAAAGTCAAACTTGTAATTTTGTGGTTATCAAGTCCAGTTGAGTTTTCAAAAAAAAAAAAAAAGTCATGGACCCTTACGTGTGCAGGTGGACTGTAGTCGCGCGCTGAGATTCCAAATTAAAGTATGTGCTCCATCTCAACTAAAAGTCATAGATGGATTGCACATTATTAATGGCTATATGTTCAACAAGCTGACAGGCTCAAACCAATAAGGCCAATAGACCGCTCCTAGTTGTGAGTCACTTGTAATTTTATGGTTATCAAGTCAAGTCAAGAGTCACTAATTTGATTGGGTTACCCCTAAATTTTCATTTTTTGGTTGACTAGGAGCAAGTAATGTGGCAATTGTCAATGTTATTGAAATTACCAGTATTTTGTTAACCCTCCTTTTTCAAAATCACCAAAGATTATAGTTTCATCTAGTTTTTTGGAAGAAGAAATTGAAATGGTGTTGAGGTTTTGAGTAAAAACCTGGTCTTTTTTCTTATTAATATTAGTTCTTTTGTTTGATGATTGGAAGGATTTTTTTGGTTGTGTTTTTGCATTTGAGCATTCTATTTGTTGGTTATGAGCTGAGCAGGAATGATAAGTTAGGCAGCCATCAGCCATGCTAGCTACCATTGTCATCATGCATTATTTCATCTCAACCCATGTTGATTATACATTGCGTTCTTCATCTTTGCATCTGTATTGACCTTTGAGGACATTGGAACTGCATAAATGATCAGTGATCACTAACCACTCATTTTGGATTTTGATCAGTTCTTGTATGATCTTTATTATTGCAATAGATTTTAAGTTTCTAACATTTCATTATATGATTTAATGATTTATTCAGGTCAAGATGGTGGGAAACAAATGGGTCTTAATTTTGAACGGGTGAAGTAAGTGGGTTTCCTTTTACTTGTTCACATGCTCTCTTTTTCTGACTTCTCAGTTCATCTAAGCTCGTGCATAGAAAGAGTAGGATCAGATATGAGAAATTAAATCACACTTACATTTTGAAGAAAACTAATGCAATCTTGCATAAAACCATTGATTTGGGAGGCATTAATATTAAAGTCAATGAGCTTTTATGCTATTTATGTATTCCTTGGAAACGGCTTATGTTTCATGTAGTTCATAGTTTTGTATCTGGTAATCGAGAACAAAGGAATTCCATCCTGATTGTAAATGGGACAATGTAAATAATTATGAATTTTGCAGTGACAGTGCTTGGCAGTCCTAAACAAACACACAAATATCCCGGTTTTATGTAGCTACTTGCTTGAGTTATTATCATCTGAGGTCCTCCGATTATAGTGGTTTTGCCACGTTTAGTCCTAAATTTTCAAATTGACCATTATTTTTGGTCCTTCGACTTTCAAATTTAACCATTCGTGGTCCAAGTTAACCCCCCATGGTCCTCCAACTTTCGAAATTTAACCAACCATGATCCTTTCAAGAGGATCACGGGTGGTTAAATTTTGAAAGTTGGAGGAGCATGAGTGGTTAACTTGGACGACGAATGGTTAAATTTGAAAGTTGAAGGACCACAAATGGTCAATTTGAAAGTTTAGGACTAAACGTGGCAAACCCACTATACTCGGAGGACCCCATGTGGCATTAACTCCTACTTGCTTTCTCTAAATGCAATTTCTGGTCTGTTCTTACATACTGGTGTCAAAACACAATGCAAAAATGGCAACTAGGTTATTCTTTGACCGCGTATAACTCTATGTTCTGCAAAATGCTTATTCCAAACATGTTGTTCTGTATTTTGAATCCTCATTATAATTAGAACGTGTTATTGTGGAATTTGCTAATTTTGGGCATATATAGATACTGGCTATCAGTTGGTGCACAGCCATCGGATCCAGTTGAGCGTCTTCTCTTTAGAGCAGGCTTGTTGCCACCACCACCAATGATGGCCATGGGACGAAAAGGTGGACCGCGAGACAATCGTCAGGTTGATCCTATGACGGGGCATGTCACATTTCAGAACTCTAAAAATGATCAAAAAGCTTAGCTTCCCATGTAGCGAATGAAGGTCTGTAATCTATTCCTGAAAATCAAAGTATTGGACTATCCTAAAAGATGTACTTCTCTTTTTAGAATTCAATTCCAGCTAGTGAATATCATTTTTCACCCTTTTGGTGTTTGTTTTCCTCTTCTTTTCTCATTTTGAATACAAAATCTGCAATACTGTGATGAGTTTTCATTTGAAGCAGGGATTGATGTCTTCCCTACATTTTAGCAGAAGTTAATGTTATTGCATTCTTGCATTTACAGCTTATTGCATGAAAAAATGACATGTCATCATAAAAGATGAAAACAGGACATTTTAGGCTCCTAGGCTCTCCTCACTTAAACCGGGAGATTGTGGAGGTTCGGGTGAAGTAAGTGGGTTTCCTTTTACTTGTTCATTGCTCTTTTTTTTTTTTTTTTTTTTTTTTTTTTTTTTTTTTTTTTTTTTTGACTTAGTTCATCTAAGCTCGTGCACAGAAGAAGTAGGATCAAATATGAGAAATTAAATTACACTTACATACTGAAGAAAACCAATGTAATCTTGCATAAAACCATTGATTTGGGAGGCATTAACATTAATGACTTATTTATGTAATATATACTTTTAAAATGTTTTACTCATCATCTATCTTCAAATTTTAAAAAAATACAAAAGTAAAGCATTTTATGTTCTTGTTTCTCTGGAGTACCCTTTTTTTTTTTTTTTTTTTTTTTGAAAATAAAGAGCTAATTCATTAATCATAAGTTGAAACAGTTACAATAAAGATCAATAGAATGATAAAACATTCTTTACCGTCAGACATAGAAACAACTCTTGAAGCTGAATTCATTGTAGGAACCTGAAGCTTCTTTGATGTTGGTAATGATCTGGCTATCCAAGATTGAATTTATTTGAGAAGTCTTGCATAACACCTGAGTAACTATTGCGGCTCTTCTGTCCGTAGACAATATCTTCATTAATTTGAACTGGATATCATGGTTCAGATCTCCTTCGTTGCTCAGGATAAGATAAACATACGCCATGATCAATTAAATCGTTTCACCTTAATGAAAAAAGAACTCGCCAAAGAAATGAGAGGGAATAACTCGCCAAAGAAGCGAGAGGAAATAACTTATCAAAATAATTGATGGAAAAAGTGAAAAACACATATATGTAGATAAAAAAAAAACAGAACTCCACGCCTTCTCCTGTCAAGAAAACACCACGCCTTCTTGTCCTTGATCAAAGCACAAAACTTCTTGTCCTTTTTCAGAACTCAAAGCCTTCATTGCCTAGATTCAAGAAAAAAATACTGACACAAAGTCTTCTTTTCCCTTTTTGTTGAAAAATAAGCGTTGACAATGGTGAGGGGCTTCTTGATTAGATATGGTGCTGGAAGTTGTGAAACTAAAAAACAAAATACAAAGGAACTATGAAAGTATGAGACCGCTGGCCAAGGACAGAGTCGGTCAGTGGACGACGGCCACACTATGAAGGAATGACAAGATGCAAGGTTTGGGAGGGCATAGAGGTTTTTTTTTGCAGTTTACGGGGGGCAGTTTATGAAGATAAAAAAAATAAAAAATTATAGTTTACAACAATACCATACTTATATATTGTAATATAGTGCAATTTTAATTAAATATGCACAATGAATAATAATGACATATGTAAAGGTAAATATAAAATTTTAACCATAACTGATTTTATAATAACATAAACTTTTTTACATTGTACATATACACATTACACACTACAAAGCCCCAAATTGATGCACTGCATCACATACAAACATATATATGATATGAACTTTCTCCCAAACAAAGGGTAAAAGTTGTTTGTTTTTAGGATCATATATATAATTATTACTATTATTTTTTTTTAAAGAAAATTATTATTATTATACAAAACAAAATGAAAGATCCGTTATATATTATGAAATGCGCTTGCTTCTTAGCTCTTAGAAGCGGACGCCGCCATACCTCGCCGCCGCCGCGGCGCTGTCAACGGTTCCATAGGATTCCCTCCGAGGCGGTGGCACGGTTCCCCACCTGCCGTACCGGCTCTTCGCCTCTTCGCTGTCAATGGTTTCTCGCCTACCGTAATACGGCGGCGGCGGCACCTCCACCCCGGCGGACGAATATTTCCCGGCCGGCGAGCCAAAGTGCAGAATCTGCTGAGTTGCCGTGGCGGCGGCGGAGGTAGCGGCAGCGTACTTACCGTGTTCCTGCATGGTGTTCCAGCTGCTACTCTTGGGGCGGCTCACTTCCCTCCTGATCTTCTCGAACAGATCTTGATCCTCGTCGCCGGCGACGTTGGAAGCATAGGCATGATGGCGGCCATGGCCGCCGCCCCTGATGAGATGCTCGCTCAATTGATCGATGCCGCCGCCTCCCTCGGCCGCCTTAACCACATAGCCCTGCAAGCCGTTCATGTTGCTCATGTATCCTAGAGGCGTTCTTCTCCCCTGAGCGTCCACTAGGACCGGGCGGCACACGTGATCGCCGCCGCCATTGCCGTTGCTTCCGCCTGTTCTGCAACTGCTGTAGTCATAATAACTAGCCATAATTTGATGAGCTACCAAAAGCTTTCTGTTTTATCTGCTCTGTTGTTTTGTCTTTTGAGTTCTGAGAGGGTAATATAAAAATCTATGTGCTTATATAGTACAACTGGAAAAGGGAGTCTCCAATCCTGACTAGACATATTTCAAAAGCATCCAACCATGTGTTCCACGTCGACTTATTCTCCTTTGATTTACCCACGCAGTATACACTTTGAGTTGTTAGGAATCTATAGTCGTAGTTATAGTCAGGCCTATTTTTATATTTTTGTTGTCCTGTTCGGATAAATAAATGAGGCCCTACAAAAATCAAAATTACTAATATCATATTTTTTTATTAAATTTATACTATTCTAATCAGATATCAACCAAGGAAAAGCATATTCGGAGAGACCGTTTCTCTCTAATGTAGAAACTGTCCCCATGTCCGTTTCTGCTCATACGAAAAATTTCAGTAGTGTTCTGCATTGATACGTATTCACACGTATTTGAATGAATATTTAACAAAATTTGAAAGGATTAAAGAAATAATAACAATTTTATTACTGATAGTGTTAATTGCCACGTAAGCGATAATTAACTAACACAAGACCAATTAAAGCAAATAATCTCTTTTATTGATCGAGGTGAAGGTCCTAAGTACAATCTAAATGGCTGCTCTGGTACCGACTGACTGCGGTCGGGATGCTCTGATAACAGCCTATCGATCGTCCAAAAGATCCTCACACTGTCGCAATGGCGGGTATTTATAGCCGCGGCGCCGGAGACACAAACCCGGCTTTCCGGCCAGCCCCACACATGGCAGACACGTGTCGTCCTCCCTGGCGCCCTGCTGTCAACGCCTAGCGTCGACACGTGTCACTCCTCAACTCTCTTGTCGAAGTGTTACCGCTCGGGATTGACCAGCTCGGTCGGGCAATGCCCGGTTGGGAACCGACCGGACCTTCCTTAAGCATTTCGCCCCGTGACCTGCAAAACGAGTAGAACAAATATAAAGGCATACCGGTCGGGAGGGCCAAGGTCGATCGGGGTATTCCCTATCAAGAGCCCCCCAGCCCGTGCCTTTTTGACCGTCCAGGAAAAAACGGGGCGGGATGAAGAAGCCCAACCGTCGGCCGCCAAACCGACCGGCCAGCTGTCATTCCCCCCCACGCCACGTGTCGACGACTACCGGCCTCTGCGACCGCAACGGTCACCTCGGAGTCAGGAACGGTCGCGTCACGCACGTGGGTTGGTTTCCCGCCTAAACGCTCTCCTATAAATAGGCCTTTGAGGCCCTCATTTGAACTTTCTTCAACCTACTGAATCGATCGGTATACTCAGAGAGCCCCGAGCGAAGCACTTCAGCAGAGCAGTCGAGCAAAGAGCTTCCAAGTTTTCTCATCCAAGCATCTTCAATCGGTATGTTCTCTAGTCCTTAGCTCTTACTTAATGCTTTATGTTTCGTAGAGCGGTTGGTAGGTTATAACTAACTGACCCAAACGTCCCGAGTCCCATACTAACCCCGACCGACCTTTAGGTAGATCGAAATGACAGATTCTGATAGTCAAAACGTCTCGGTCGCGGACTACGACGAGGAGGTCGAGTACATCAGCGACGAAGAGATAGACATCATATCTTATTCACCCGAGGTCGTCCAACGACCAGGAAAAACCCCCGAGCAGCGGGAGTCATCGAGCTCGTCCGGGACGTCGGGGTCTAGCTCGCGCGGGTCGGGAAGCTCAGACCGAGAAAGAGGGGAGACCTCAACGAGCGGGCGAGGTTCCCCGGCCGACGACGTTAGGGAAACGCCGACCCGGGTGATAGGGGATCACCCGAAAACCGTCCCTCGCGGGGGCGATCAAGAGAATGCTCCAGGGCCGACCGAGGAAGAAACGGCTGAGCCGGCTGCAGCGGCGGCCGATGAGTTCGAGTTCTTGAACAGCGAGAATGTCGAGCAGCAGATGAGCCGACTGACTAAGGGAGAAGCGGCCAGGATTGCCGAGAAACTCGGGGGTCGGGTGGAGTTTGACAGAAGCCGGAAGCTCGGGAACATCATCGACCGGCATCTGGGAAAGTGGATCGGGATGCACTACGACTCCCTGATGGCCCCGATCGCTATTCCCTTCCCACCTCTTCTGACGGCCTTCTTGGGGTATTACTGGGTCGTCCCGGCTCAAATCTGCCCCAACTCGCACAGGATCCTCGCTTGCTTCCCCCAGATCTGTGCTCGGCATGAAGCGGCTTGCACGATGGAGTTATTTAACTTCATCTATCAGGTAAAGGTTCTCCCGGCCAGCTATGGAGGTGGCTTCCTGATGCTACAGTCCCGGGCGGAAATGTGCTCGATCGAGGGGTTGCTCGGGAACAATAAAGGATGGAAGAACAGGATCTTCTCGGTCAAGTATGACCCTTGGATCCTCCCGGTTGAGAGAGTTTGGAGCACTCATTTCCGCAAGCAAGTTACGCCGGTCGAGACGCCGGCCCTCAAGGCCACCGTCACTCGGATCTCGAGCGAGATTCACGAGTACACCATTTTCCGGACGGCCAAAAGCTACGAAGCGGCCAAGCTCCCGCCCCCCGTGTATTACCTCACGGAGAAGTACTTGCCCGTGCCGATGGGCGTGACGGTCGCGAAAGCTCCCAAACGAAAGAAAAAAGGTCTAACATAAACTAATTTCTCCCGATCCTAACTCCCCGAAAGATACCTCGCTTCCCGATCCAACCAACTTCATTTTCTTTGTTTGCAGCAATGGCAGGTCTTGGAGATGATGAGGCCCCTCTTCCCCCGGTTGCCAAGATCTCGCTTGGCAAGAAGAAGCCGAAGACTAAGCCAACAGGGCAGAAGGAGGTCCCACTTGCCCGACCGATTGACACCTCGACCATCACTACGCCCGAGGGCGGCGTGGTCGAAACGTCGGACATCTTGGTTGCCCGGGCGGTGGTCCCCAAGGGCAAAGAGAAGGTGCCCGAGAAGGGCGTGGCGGAGAGCGGCGGTCTGAAGCGCCGCAGAGAGCAGTGCAGCCCGAACCCTTCGACCGGGGGAAGCAGGGGCAGTTCGTCCGTCCTCGCCCGGATCGGCAATGCCGGGCCAACTCGGGAAGACCTGAGCAAGCTGACCCCGACCCAAGTGGCCGAGAAGATTGGCCTCGACTTGGCCGAGGTAAAGCCCTTTCCCCCTTTTCTTCTTTATGCACCAAGTATTCTCAGTCGAGCTAACATAATGTGCCTTGCAGATTTCCCGAGCGGCCCAGCTCCTTCAAGGTCGGGCCATGCTGGCCGACGAGGCTGAGCGACACAAGAAGGCCGCCACCCGACGACTTCAAGAGGTCAAGGACATCCAGGCGGAGCTGGAGAAGGTCCAGAAAGACCTCAAGAAGAGCGGGGAGGATTGGGACCTAGCCGAGAAGGTCGCGCAGCGGGCGATCGGAGAGGCTGCCGAGTGGAAGACGGCGGCTGAGAAGGGGACCGGGGAGATCGCGGAATTGAAGGCCCGGTTGGACAACCCAGACGAGTTGGCCCGGTTCCTTTTTCAGGACAACGGATCGGGTACACAATTTCTCAAGGCGGTCCGGGGAACGACGGTCGGGGAAGAGCTGATGTTGTCGTTCGGTCGGTGGGCCTTCAAAGCCGGCCAGAGGAAGATGCTCGAGAAGACCCAAAAAAGGATGGAACAGGCGCTCGAAGGAGAAGACCTTCAGCTGGTCCTATCCGCACTTCCTCCGGATCTTCCCGACCCCGGTCCAGCTCCGTTCGACCCGAAGGAGAGAGCGGCTGAGCCGAGCGGGTCTGCTGCGGCCACCCCGGGCGAGAAGGAGCCTCCGAAGAAGTAGTAGGTTTAACTTCTTCATTTTGTAAGTGACTCTGATCGGGAGCCCGGTCCCGAATTTGTACCGGGCACCTTTTGTTATTAATGAAATTTGTTATTTGCTTAACTTGTGTCACTCGTCTTTATTTGCATGCTTATTCTCAACTTCAAACAATCCGAACGCTTAATGCTCGACCTTGCGGCCTTATGGCCTGGTCGTGCATCCCTCGACCCCTCTGTTGCCCGACCTCGTGGCCTTATGGCCTGATCGTGCATCCTTCGGTCGACTCGTTCCATGACCGACCTCGTGACCTTATGGCCTGATCGTTCATCTTCCAACTGGACCATCGACTTTAGAATGGCCTTCCCGTTCGGGGTTTACCCGATCTATTGGCCCTTGCCGATTTTATCCACTAAGCCTCTTCGATCGGGGTGTTCCCGAACGACGAGCTTACAACGCTTCACCGGACCGGAACATTGACGACTTGATGGCCCGCCCGATCGGGTTTATCCGACCTTATGGCCTTTGTCGATTTCGGAAAATATTAGGGCACTTTGCTCGGGGTGTTCCCGAGCGTGGGACCTATAATACTTCTCAAGGGCACATCGCTAGGGGTGTTCCCGAGCACGAGACCTATAATACTTCTCAAGGGCACGTCGCTAGGGGTGTTCCCGAGCGCGAGACCTATAATACTTCTCAAGGGCACGTCGCTAGGGGTGTTCCCGAGCGCGAGACCTTGCAACTCTTCCTTCATCCTAGCCCCCACACCATTGTGCGTTCGGGCACGAGTGGGGGCCTTAACGAAAAGAAGTTGGACGGATCGGGGGATTTTGCCGTAGCTTCGGCTTTCCCGATCGATGGCGTGACTTTAGTGTCCGCCGAAGAGGAGTGCCTTTGACCGGTCGATGACTTCGCCCGGTTGAGAGGATGCAAGGACGAACTTGGCCTACGTTTAACAAAGGTAAGGAAAGAACCGATCGGGCCGCCGTGTGCACACGGTCAAGCAATCACCGACCGTACATACATTACCAAAATTAATTTACAATCAAACGACGACCGAGGCCGACTCACAGGCCGAGCCCCTACTTCACCTAGTATTTACAAAAGGAAAATAGGATAATGCCTAAACAACACGAGGTGCTCAGAGTTCCAAGTCCCCTCGATTATCTGACCGGTTGTTGTCTCCAACCGGTACGTTCCCGGCCGCACAACAGCGTTGATAACGTACGGCCCTTCCCAATTCTGAGCTAGCTTCCCGCCTTCCAAAGGTTGACTGGCTTCCCGTCGGC